TAGAAGACTCCAAACAACTTCAGAAGTAATCACGACGAAAAGTTTAACAAAATTATGCAATAACAACAAGGTACGAGAACAACGAGTAAGCACAATGGATCCCAAACCACCAATTGATATGACACACCACACATATATACAAACAGTACACACAAACTCGCGGATCATTTCTTGATGGAATTCCTTTGAAGAATCGCGAAACTTACACCAGTACGCCTACAACCCTTCTCAGGTTAACGATTGTAAGTTGTGGAATGTCCGGACACAAACAAGATTAAACAATAATTACAATATTTGGAACTCACACAATTATTTAACAGAAACATAAGTACAAACAACACATCAAATGTTGTGGATTATGGCACGACAAACTACCCTTGAAGAACTGTAGGACTTACAGCAGTACGCCTACCACCCTTCTCAGGTTGACGCTCTAGGTTGGAAAATCGTCGCAGAGTTCATTTGCTGACTTCCTTCTATCAGCTGTATCCTCAAATCTGAACGGCAACACGCTCATGTCATTGTATCGTAGGATATAGATGACGAACAAACACACGACGTATCTGGTCAACCAAGCGTAGGCACAGAGTAATTTACACCAAAGATAATAGCATTCAAATAGTAACTTGAAACTAGAAATGCCTTTATTCATGCAAGTCAATTTAACAATTACTCTCTCGTTTACACTTGGCTTATTCTCACTAAACTGAGCAATATCTTTCGTCTTTTCAAACGCACCAATACTATCATAGTCATTGCACAAGATACTTGAGTTGATGGGCGTCTGTTTCATTGTGGATGACAACACCAACGACAACTGATTGATACCAGTTGATGAACTTAGCGGTGGATCAGAAGCTGTTGTTGTTCGGCTTTCAGATAGTTGTCCAACTGCAAGATTACCACCACTGCTGTCTTTTACTATCAGCTCAGGTTTAGCACTAGCATCTGATGATAGGTGGGCTACATGCTGAACAATTAAACTGACGGTCTGACAAGTATACATGCCTGCTGCAACTGCATTTATTTCTACTTCACCTTTGAGCTGTACAGAACCTTTAATTAACTTAGCAGTAGTAGGCATATCCCTCATTTCATCATGATCAACCAAAGACAAATCTGCACTATCATGATCATTATCACAAATATTCAATTTACCATCATCTATCTGGTCGACTTCATCATTTTCAAACTCTTTAATAACAGCAGTAGATGATTTGGGTTCTTCCTCACGAATCCCTAAAGATTTTATACCTTCACTCTGACTAGTAACACCTCGTAAACTTGTGGAGTCAGAACTGCACTCTGAAGCAGCAACTCTATTCTGTGACACTCTATTCAACAATGGCTTACCAGTTGCAACTACAGACTTCTTGACCGCACCGTTATCGTCACACAAATCGGAGTCAGACGTTGATTTCACATTTGGCTTATCCCTGAACTTGCTCACTGATTCACAGTTCACCTTTGTATGCACCTCTTGCAAACGTGTAAAACACAACCGTGTTTGTCTTGCATTTTGTAACTTATCTGTTGAGGATGTACTACGAAACCTGTTACACTCACTAGGTCTATATGCATTACTATACATCATGGAGTCTTCTCGATATCCACCTCTCTGAGGCCTATTCGTCATCAATGATTGCGTTTTACCCTCAGACTGCTCTATTCTAGGGGTGAGATTCAATATACTGGCAAACCTGCTCATAGATTGATTGACACTATCTTTTACCAGTTTCAGAATGTCATCGTACTTTGGCTCGATACCCTCATCCTCCATACGGGAGCTTATCTTCACCCACTTCCTTTGCAGTAGAGTAGGTAGGCGTTTTGCTATTACTTCTAGTATAAAACTCGAGTTGAGGTCACTCATGCAATTCATCGAAACCAATGCATTCTTGTAAATCAGCAAATTATCCAAAAACTCAGTGAGTGCCTGGGAGTCATCCTGTAATTGACCACAATTACCCTTAACAGCCTCAAATAATTTCCCTAAAATCATCGAAGGTCTTCCAAACCTTTGACGTAGTATGCTCATAGCCTCGTGGTAGCCCTCTTTTGGCTTCATAAACTTACAGCACTGTATAGCTCTTGCAGCAACACCAGTGCAATACCTCATCAAATACATTAACTTCATTTCATCAGTTAATGGAAAACTACTCATCATGATCTCAACTCCCTGACAAATTGTAAATGATCAGCTGGGTTTTCATCGAAACACCGTGGTTCAAATTTAGGGAGTTTGATATTCCTATTATCCCTGAACGGCGAAACAGTAACATCAACCATGTCATGCTTAACATCAGACACATCGTTACAATTAACAGACAAGTCACCATGACTTACTTTCCTGTTTGCATCCAAGACACTCTGTCTCTCCTTTGACCCAGGCATTGTTGAACTTGACCCAATTCCAAAAAAGTTCCAGATATTGCTTGTTCAAAGAGGACTTGACCGGCACCAGGAAAGATGAACGGTAACTATCGAAACTGACACCAATGTTCAAAAACCGTCGAAAACTGACTTCACTGTCAGAAACTGTCAGCCACGTCTCGTAAACCGTTAATGCCCAGCTCTTGCTGCACTCGGGCCCACGCTGTTCCTTGAAGTTTCTCAGAAACGCTTAGTAATAACGGACGCAAAACCCAAAACACCGATTGGCTACTCGAGAATTATTTATTGTAACACCAACATATAGGCAGCTTTAAAATTAAGTTTTAACCAAGGTCTATGAACAAATATTACAATAATAAATCACAATATTACTTCTGACAGTTTTGGTCTGATTTCTTTCTGAACAGAGACCAATGAGACGATGACTGGTGTATCGATGTCCCCGCGAAAATATAGGGTAGTTGTGTTTGAGCAAACAACCATGAATTGATCATTCAATCTTCAACTACATTGACACTCCCCGCCAAAAAAGGGATTCATCCCTTTTTTCCATCACGACCAATACACGTTGACTTGGATGCCACTGCGAGAACCTCGGTCACGCGGACAGAACTGAAATGGAAAACAGACAGAAAAGCCAACACACCACAAGCATACTCACAGCACAATCTCCCATATCAATGACGACCTGCGCCTTCCAGCTAAAGGCATCCTCTTGCAACACATACGCCACTTTCTAGAATGACTCATGCAGAATGCAACGTGACCATAGCACCACCTCACGATACTCTACGCACATCCTCTTATCCACTCACTACCAATTACCACTGCAATCGCTTGTCACTCATTCTGCCTCAGTTCTAGTAGCGGTGACGCATGCGAGCCTCAGTCGTTTACACTCTTTCTCCCCGGCGTGTGGGACTGCAGCTAACAATTATCTTCGTATGCATTTCATTCTCAGCAATAGCCTAGCCTCCCCGGTGCATACGACCCATCTGCTGTCTCTAACATCAATCAATTCATTCACGGATGTAGAAGACTCCAAACAACTTCAGAAGTAATCACGACGAAAAGTTTAACAAAATTATGCAATAACAACAAGGTACGAGAACAACGAGTAAGCACAATGGATCCCAAACCACCAATTGATATGACACACCACACATATATACAAACAGTACACACAAACTCGCGGATCATTTCTTGATGGACTTACTACAGTACGCCTACATTCCTTCACGGGTTGATGATCCATGTGGAAGTCGTCCGGACGCAAACAGGATTGCCAACAGCTATTGGTTTCCTACTCAGGAACTTCTACAGAAACGAGTCCAGAATACTACTGTACAAGGTATGTGTGCGCCCACTCCTAGATTACTGCTCATTCATATTCAGCAGTACACGCATGAAAGACAAACTGAAAGTAGAAGGAGTACAGAGGTACTTCACGCGAAATGTACTCGGAACCGATAACGGCGCAAACTACTCTACCAGATGTGAAATCCTGGGACTAGAAACATTATGGTTAAGGCGACTGCGACTAAATCTGATACTCTTCTATAAGCTTCTTAACCAAATAGTGTATACCCCTGCTAACTATACTCGGTCCTCAGGTAACACAGGATACAACCTTAGGCACACTAAAGGTACAGTGGCTATAGAACCATGTAAAACAGCCACCAGGCAAAAGTTTTTCTTGATTAGGTATGCCCAAATATGGAACAAACTACCTGAGAAAATACGACTAGCAAGCACATTGGCCTCCTTTGAAAAGGCACTTAATGACACACTAAGTGAGTTTGTAATTGATACCAATGGTAATTCCCATGTAAGAGTTTCAGAAATCATAGGCCCATTTAATGTATGAACTCAGAGACTACACCTGTTGTTTGTTTTGTCTCTATTTATAATTCCAGACAAAAAAGCAGCAGTCATGACAATAACACCCATTCAACCAAGAGTCGATCAAACTATGTCTACCTGATACAAAGGGCGAACCATAATCAACATACGAATGAAATATGAGAAAACAAGGTAGAAACTTACCGCAACACCACATGAAAAGATAAAAGTTACTTGGATATCATATATAATCCACCAACTGGTCTCCTACCCAAAAAGAATGCGGCGATGTTTTATCCAAAAAGGCGAGGAAATACATAAACCCACAGCAGCTGTTGTTAACACTCAGTGGGGGTAGGAGCCAACAAAGTAATCCTTTCAAAGCACATGTATACTTCAAATGGGCACGGAGACTTTGTAGAATACGTCATAATCCAAATCACTGCCTCTACAGCGCCAATAAACCTGGATATCTATGATATAACGAAAACATGCTGAAAGCTGCATCTCAGATCAAGTTGACTCATTCCATGGTAATGATCTCCTCCTGCGTGCCTTATTCGACATATTGAATGGAATGGTTCGCAGTTATTCTGGTACTAGATCGAAAAGAATAAAAAATTCACCGGTTGCTGAATCAAAAGTACTTCTCTGCATGTTTAACTGTATTCTAACTGCTATGATTAATTCCAAACCATTTATCCCATAATCACTCAAATTCCAGGAACGATCCAATTCTACCATTTAAAAAAGGTGGCGGACACGATGTAAATGAGTATTCATGATCTGAAATAAAGAAGCAACTGGTCTTCAAATAGTTTTCAACATTTTACTCAACTTACGAGTACAGTCCGCCATGCAGACACAAATGGAGCAAATGGAGAATTCTGGAATCGACCTCGGCACCACTTGATGCAGTAAAACAACCCGACATGACCTTATCTAGTTTTCGTATCCACGATCAGATTTCTTTCCTGTTATAAAACTACGATAAGACTGCTGAAAAATGGAATAAATATATCACTGATCCCAACATAATACATCAATAATCTTTAAGCCAAGGGTGCTGTTCACAACAAAGTTATATAGGAGAATTGACTTCAAGCTTTATTTTTCCCATATATCTGTATTACATTCATCTGATGTCTGGGTTTTTTGTTAATGCGAAGACAATATTTCTATATCTCTTTATGTGCTACACAAACAGACTTTATAGCAAACTGTTCCGACTGACTTTGATGTCAGAAAGAACAACCAAACTGTAAATACATTATACATCAAATTATGTGTAATTTATATAATAACTTATCCATGCCTGTACAATAGGTATGTTCCTGCATAAACAGGAAGGAATATATTATTATTATTAAAACAATATTTATGCATGCCTATACAATTGGTGTACCATACATAGCTAGGGAAAAAATGTACTTTATTATATTATCTTTACTAAATATGCTTAATAATATTATGTGTAAATTATCGAATTGATGATGCCTGTAAACTGGCGTCCCTCAAGTAAAAAATGAGAAAATATATATTATTATTATTATAGATGATATCAATTCAGCATACACAATATGAACATGTGTACAAAATCACACACCAAGCACATTGGACTGCTCATTGATGCGCTACCCTTTGAAGAACTGTAGGACTTACAGCAGTACGCCTACCACCCTTCTCAGGTTGACGCTCTAGGTTGGAAAATCGTCGCAGAGTTCATTTGCTGACTTCCTTCTATCAGCTGTATCCTCAAATCTGAACGGCAACACGCTCATGTCATTGTATCGTAGGATATAGATGACGAACAAACACACGACGTATCTGGTCAACCAAGCGTAGGCACAGAGTAATTTACACCAAAGATAATAGCATTCAAATAGTAACTTGAAACTAGAAATGCCTTTATTCATGCAAGTCAATTTAACAATTACTCTCTCGTTTACACTTGGCTTATTCTCACTAAACTGAGCAATATCTTTCGTCTTTTCAAACGCACCAATACTATCATAGTCATTGCACAAGATACTTGAGTTGATGGGCGTCTGTTTCATTGTGGATGACAACACCAACGACAACTGATTGATACCAGTTGATGAACTTAGCGGTGGATCAGAAGCTGTTGTTGTTCGGCTTTCAGATAGTTGTCCAACTGCAAGATTACCACCACTGCTGTCTTTTACTATCAGCTCAGGTTTAGCACTAGCATCTGATGATAGGTGGGCTACACGCTGATCAATTTCGCTGACGGTCTCACAAGTATGCATGCCTTCTGCAACTGCACCTGCATTTATTTCTACTTCACGTTCAAGTTGTACAGAACCTTTATTTAACTTAGCAGTAGTAGGCATTCCCTCCATTTCATCATGATCAACCAAAGAGAAATCTGCACTATCATGATCATCATCACAAATATTCAATTTACCATCATCTATCTGGTCGACTTCATTAATTTCAAACTCTTTATTAACAGCAGTAGATGATTTGGGTTCTTCCTCACAAATCATTAAAGGTTCTATATCTTCACTCTGACTAGTAATACCTTGTAAACTTGTGGAGTCAGAACTCAACTCTGAAGCAGCAACTCTATTCTGTGACACTCTATTCAACAATGGCTTACCAGTTGCAACTACAGACTTCTTGACCGCACCGTTATCGTCACACAAATCGGAGTCAGACGTTGATTTCACATTTGGCTTATCCCTGAACTTGCTCACTGATTCACAGTTCACCTTTGTATGCACCTCTTGCAAACGTGTAAAACACAACCGTGTTTGTCTTGCATTTTGTAACTTATCTGTTGAGGATGTACTACGAAACCTGTTACACTCACTAGGTCTATATGCATTACTATACATCATGGAGTCTTCTCGATATCCACCTCTCTGAGGCCTATTCGTCATCAATGATTGCGTTTTACCCTCAGACTGCTCTATTCTAGGGGTGAGATTCAATATACTGGCAAACCTGCTCATAGATTGATTGACACTATCTTTTACCAGTTTCAGAATGTCATCGTACTTTGGCTCGATACCCTCATCCTCCATACGGGAGCTTATCTTCACCCACTTCCTTTGCAGTAGAGTAGGTAGGCGTTTTGCTATTACTTCTAGTATAAAACTCGAGTTGAGGTCACTCATGCAATTCATCGAAACCAATGCATTCTTGTAAATCAGCAAATTATCCAAAAACTCAGTGAGTGCCTGGGAGTCATCCTGTAATTGACCACAATTACCCTTAACAGCCTCAAATAATTTCCCTAAAATCATCGAAGGTCTTCCAAACCTTTGACGTAGTATGCTCATAGCCTCGTGGTAGCCCTCTTTTGGCTTCATAAACTTACAGCACTGTATAGCTCTTGCAGCAACACCAGTGCAATACCTCATCAAATACATAAACTTCAATTCATCATTTAATAAAAACCACTCAACATGATCTCAACTCCCTGACAAATTGTAAATGATCAGCTGGGTTTTCATCGAAACACCGTGGTTCAAATTTAGGGAGTTTGATATTCCTATTATCCCTGAACGGCGAAACAGTAACATCAACCATGTCATGCTTAACATCAGACACATCGTTACAATTAACAGACAAGTCACCATGACTTACTTTCCTGTTTGCATCCAAGACACTCTGTCTCTCCTTTGACCCAGGCATTGTTGAACTTGACCCAATTCCAAAAAAGTTCCAGATATTGTTTGTTCAAAGAGGACTTGACCGGCACCAGGAAAGATGAACGGTAACTATCGAAACTGACACCAATGTTCAAAAACCGTCGAAAACTGACTTCACTGTCAGAAACTGTCAGCCACTTCTCGTAAACCGTTAATGCCCAGCTCTTGCTGCACTCGGGCCCACGCTGTTCCTTGAAGTTTCTCAGAAACGCTTAGTGATAACGGACGCAAAACCCAAAACACCGATTGGCTACTCGAGAATTATTTATTGTAACACCAACATATAGGCAGCTTTAAAATTAAGTTTTAACTAAGGTCTATGAACAAATATTACAATAATAAATCACAATGTTTTTACTGACGTTGTTTTACCCGTCTTTCTGAACAGCGGCCGATGAGACAATGACTCTCTTGTTGTTTCCTCCGCGAAAATTGTGGAAGTTGGTTTTGAGCAAACAACCATGAATTGATCGTTCAATCTTCAATTACATTGACAAATAGGTTGAAATGAAATAGATGAAAAATTAGGATAACTGCTGCTGATCCTCTGTAACGAGAGGAAAAGATTAAAATGATTATTGCGGGAAAAGATGACTACTCCTAGAAGTGGAACCAAACAGAGTAAATATAACAAAATTAAATGGAAAATTGTGACAAGGAATAAAACCACTAGTAGCATTACCCATGGATTAGTTCAGTGAAAGAACTCTGTGAACCTCTTGGGCCAGGGAACACGTCGACCAGCACGAGTGACAGGGGTCTAACTGGTGACAGTAGGTGTTAATGGAGTTGAAGATTGAACGATCAATTCTTGGTTGTTTGCTCAAAACCAACTTCCCCAATTTTCGCGGAGGCATCAATACGACAGTCATCGTCTCATCGGTCGCTGTTCAGAAAGAAGAGTGAAACATCGTCAGAAGTAATACAATGATTTATTATTGTAATATTTGATTTCAGACCTTAGATCACTTATTCTTTTTATATGTTGGTGTAACAATAAACAAATATCAAGCGGCAGATCGGTGTTTTGGTTTTGCATCCGTTATTACTAAGCGTTTCTGAGAAACTTCAAGGAACAGCGTGGGCCCGAGCGTAGCGAGAGCTGGGCATTAACGGTTTACGAGAAGTGGCTGACAGTTTCTGACAGTGAAGTCAGTTTTCGACGGTTTTTGAACATTGGTGTCAGTTTCGATAGTTACCGTTCATCTTTCCTGGTGCCGGTCAAGTCCTCTTTGAACAAGCAATATCTGGAACTTTTTTGGAATTGGGTCAAGTTCAACAATGCCTGGGTCAAAGGAGAGACAGAGTGTCTTGGATGCAAACAGGAAAGTAAGTCATGGTGACTTGTCTGTTAATTGTAACGATGTGTCTGATGTTAAGCATGACATGGTTGATGTTACTGTTTCGCCGTTCAGGGATAATAGGAATATCAAACTCCCTAAATTTGAACCACGGTGTTTCGATGAAAACCCAGCTGATCATTTACAATTTGTCAGGGAGTTGAGATCATGTTGAGTGGTTTTTATTAAATGATGAATTGAAGTTTATGTATTTGATGAGGTATTGCACTGGTGTTGCTGCAAGAGCTATACAGTGCTGTAAGTTTATGAAGCCAAAAGAGGGCTACCACGAGGCTATGAGCATACTACGTCAAAGGTTTGGAAGACCTTCGATGATTTTAGGGAAATTATTTGAGGCTGTTAAGGGTAATTGTGGTCAATTACAGGATGACTCCCAGGCACTCACTGAGTTTTTGGATAATTTGCTGATTTACAAGAATGCATTGGTTTCGATGAATTGCATGAGTGACCTCAACTCGAGTTTTATACTAGAAGTAATAGCAAAACGCCTACCTACTCTACTGCAAAGGAAGTGGGTGAAGATAAGCTCCCGTATGGAGGATGAGGGTATCGAGCCAAAGTACGATGACATTCTGAAACTGGTAAAAGATAGTGTCAATCAATCTATGAGCAGGTTTGCCAGTATATTGAATCTCACCCCTAGAATAGAGCAGTCTGAGGGTAAAACGCAATCATTGATGACGAATAGGCCTCAGAGAGGTGGATATCGAGAAGACTCCATGATGTATAGTAATGCATATAGACCTAGTGAGTGTAACAGGTTTCGTAGTACATCCTCAACAGATAAGTTACAAAATGCAAGACAAACACGGTTGTG